ACAAGAAAAAAAAAAAAAGGCTACTTGTATGTCCACCCACGAGGGCCTCCGACACCTCTGAGGTTATTTCCCTTGGTTCCCTCCCCTTCTCACTGTAATCATCTCCTCCTATCTACCTCATTTGGCTAAAGCCACTACTATCCCCCAGTTACTCAGGTCAGAGATCTGACATCCATCCTAGATTCTCATTTCCCTTTATTTTACCCCATTCCTGATTAGCCACCAATTCCTGTCAGTTCTGTCTTCTAGATATTTCTCACTTCTATTCCCTTCTCTCCATTTCCTGTAGCTCTGTCCTGGTTCAGGCCAATGTCTGTGGAGATAAGAGGGCTATGTAGGAAAGACTGCTGGGGGCTCTTTCTGCATTGCATGGCAAAGGGCCCACTGCACCCACCCATCACTCCTAGATCAGAGGCTGAGCCTGAACTCAGCTTCCCATAGGCCCTGTGATTTTCTTTTCTGAGCACAAGAAGCTGCAACTTCCTATAGGCCTGAATCTCTCAGGCGCTGGGCTGTCTGGAAAACCCTGCAAAGAGTTGCTACCTGAATTCAGACTGCTTAGCACCAAAGCAGTCTTTTTATCCCTGGTCCTAGGGCCTCTCCCACATGTGCCCCATAAGAAAAGGAGAGCAACAGAGGAGCCCTCCAGCTCCTGGGGACACCTGTGCTGGGGTGAAGACAACGCCACCAGCTGAGTTTAAGTGTGGCCACACCTCTCTGCAGAAGGCTGGACTCTGCTCATCTGGAACCTGTGGTTTCAGACAGCAGCCAGCGATGCTGTTTGCCTCTCTCACTTCTCCCCCAGACTACTGTCTATTACTCTCTCATCCATTCTCCACAACAAAGGTAACTATGTAACATACAGTCAGACCCATCACTTTCTGCGCAGTACTTTCCTCTGTAGAACAAGGTCTGAATTCCTCAGCGTGATATAAAAGGCCCTGCACAGTCTGGCTCAAATTTTTTCTTTTCACTGTCATCTCCACCATTCTTCCCCTTTCCAATCACTCCCTACACACACACACACACACACACACACACACACACACACACACACACACACACACAGCTGCACTGTCCTCCATCCTTCCCACCACTCCACAAAGCGCCGGATGTACTCACAACTTTGCACACTCGTATTTGCCAGACATAATCATTCCCCTCGGCCACCTTGTAACACAAATTGATACAGAACCCAAATGCTCCCCTGTCAGTGAAACCTTCCCTGACTCCCCCTCAGAGACTCGGCCCCTGCCCTCTCTTGTCTCATAACAAAACAACTGCATTACGATTCTTCCCTAGCCTGAGTTCAGGGACTGTGCCTTGCTGGTCCTGGCTACCCTTCGACCAGCAGAGGGCCTGGCACACAGTAGGTACTCTAGATGTTTGTTGAAGAAATATACAAATGTATAAATAAATAATGTCAGCTCCTAGATGCATCACCCTGAGTATTATTGATGAGCTCTTTTGCCTTATGTCCTCAGTGTAGTCATTTTGCAACTATCTTCAATTTGTTATTATTTGCTCTTGAAAGGATTTCACTGAAAATTAATGCAGAAGCTCTACTGCTCTGCAGGTATTTTATATATGCAGAGTTGCCTGAAATAGCATCACAATGTTCGATATAGACTGTTCTGAAAAACTCGTCTGCAGATCAATTTTAGCCCCCAAAGTGCATTTTCCTTAAAGTATACTTTAAACAATAATACAAATGTTTATGGGGCACCAAACATCAAATGAATATTAATGGCAATAGCAACAATAATTTCCTTTAAAGTAATTGATTGAAGTCAAGAAATAGTCAAACCGGTTGACATGCAGTCAGAATTTGATATTTTTCATCAGAAAAACAATTCACTATCAGTGACAAATAACAGTAGGGACACTAAAACTACCTGTCATGCATCTAATGAAGACAGATTCTCTGGCTACCACATATAATATGTAATATACAAAAGCGCTGCTGTAATTCACAGCTAATTAGTGTCTTGCCATTATGAGAGGTGTCATGGCCCTAACTCTCTTTTCATAGCTACTCAGACCTCACAAGAGCAGACAGCCATGCAAGGATCACAGCAACCCAATTAGCACCCACCCTAAGCTTGGGCTGCCATTCCTTGGAGCCCACCCCAGCGTCAATAAATCATGCTCCCTCACGAAGCTCTTCTCTGACAGCTGCAAGCCATTGCTGCCCAAGGAATAAAGACAATACTTCTAAGGAAAACTCATATGGGAAAGACAGAGATGGAATGGGGATATTATTTGCCTTCCTTTAGCAGCACAGCAGTCAGCAAAATAGAAGACCATCAATCTTGACTGATTAAAGAGACAATTGCACTACGAAATAAATCCATGAGAGGTATATCTGAGGATGCTTAGTGATAATCAACAGTCAGCAATTGGGTTGTTTGTTTGTTTGTCTGTTTATGGATATACCAAAGACCTTTTTCTTTCCATTTTTCTCCTGTATAGCCAGCCTTACCTCTGGCTAATAAGAAAATTTTCCTTTCAGTGTAATATAATGGTAAGCATTGACTTTGTCCCCATGTGAATACACTGCAATCAGATAATTTGTTTGAAAGACTCTAAATTGTTTGACTCCATTGAAAAAGAATCTGTAATGGTATGCTGGTCTCTATGCAAGGCCTACAAAGCTCCCTAAATCCACAGCAAGCTCTAGAGTATTCACAGTACATATCAGCCAATATCCTTGTAATTTTGTTCTAAGCCTGCAAAGCTGTTTTGTTCCATAATATCCTATTTAGAGAGTATTCCAAGCAGTCACTGTAGCCTGAGCATTATTCAAAGATATGACTTGAGTAATTCTACTTCTAGTTTATTTTCTTCATGGAAATATCACACTTCTATATTTTTAATGCTAATCAAAACATTTAATCCAGCTTTTGGCTAAATAACTGCCACTTCATTTGATATATAAATATTGGCAAAGGCAAATAAACAAACATGGATGAATTTAAACAAGGAATTCTCTTAAAGCTCTTCTTTTTAAGCATAGAGATTTCAAAAAGATTCAATTTTTCACTCTGAATATAATATTCTCATGGAAATCTTCAAATATTCAAATATTTATCTACAAGGATGTCTACTGTCTCCTGTTTTATGATAGTGAAATAATGAAAATGTGTAAAATAATGAAATAGGTCAAATAAATGATGATATACTCATAGTATGCAGTTACACGACTTCTAAAAATAATAGTGGAGAAGAATATTAAAGGACACACAAGAATCTTCACAAGATACTGCAAGACAGAAATAAGAAAAATGGAGCCTGGATCCATATCACACACACATATGCACATATACCCAAATATGTGTATGTGTGTACGCACATATAGTTCATTATTTACAAGATGATCTCAATTTTGTTTTCTGTGTGTGGGGATGTGAGTGTATATTATATGTGTATAAATTAACACACTTATAGGTCAAGAATTTTTAAAAAGTCTGACAGGAAAGATATTCTAATATTTAAAATGTATCTTCAGAAAGTGATATTTCAGATGATTATTCTTTTTTTTAATAGGCACTGTCCCCGAGGATAGATGATTATTCTTTAAGCTGTTCTGTTCATATAAAAATTTTTATATTTCTTCATAATCAGAAAAAAAGTTATTATATAAAATGTTCACTTCTGTCACCTGAGTGTTAGAAGTATATACAGCTATTCAGTGGTGTGAAGTCCCAGAGCAGTGAGGCATCTGTTCTGAGTGGCTAATACTTATCGCATATCAGTCACTAAATATTTTGATTATCACTTTGGGTATAAGCAACACGTAAAAGGTCAGTGACACATCATACTTAGACACATTTTCTAACCTCTTATGCATGGTCCAGGTAGCAGAGCATTGAAGTTGAATCCACACAATTCTGGAATATGACATTGACTCAGTGCCAGAATAGGCAGGAACTGAAGTACAGCCCCTCAACACCACTGCCCTTGATTCTCTCCAACTCCAACCCATCTGCCCTGGTATTTGGGCTCACCAGATGTGTGGAAGGGTAATAAGTACCACGTGCACACAGCCTGGCCAGAGTTCAGGTCAGGTCAAAGTTCCCAGTACACGTGGGCTCACAGCCTCCTTCAACATGGCACCTTGAAGGCTGCCCTGACTTCCAGCCCAGTGAGCCAGACAGACACCATGAGGTACAGGGGCATCATGTTTAATAAGCATTTATTTTCAGGGCAACATGAATTAAGAGAACAAAGTCTCCTCCCCCGTAAGGTTTATATCTAGTTAGGGAAACAATACATACTTAAAGAGGATGATAATACAAATGACAAGCCTAGACAATACAGACATCAGAACTTGGCAATAAGAGAGAAAGTCTCACATTTAGAGATGAACTAGTGTAGAGTCTTTAAGAAAAGACATTCTGCAGCATGGTAATATACACCTAAAAACACAGATTTTTTTAAAGCAAAGGCATACATATAGGTATCTATGCCTCTTAAAAGATATTTCTCAGGTCCCCTGTGCTGCTTGGGCAGTGTAAACATGTACTTAACCCTTAGGTGAAAAATTACATTTGACAAAATTGTACATGTTATGGGGTTAATTAAATGCATTTGCATTAAGCATTTCAATTCACTTTCTATTTACTAGGCAAAGACACGTGAAATGCAATAAGAAAAAAAATTATATTGTGACAAGACCAATTTTGATAATAGTATAGTTTTTGCTTGTTGCTTATTTCTCTAAAAGGACCCTAGATAATTCAAAAGTGAGAAAATGTAGGCAGATCCATATGTTTTCCATTTCACATTCAGAGGGCATTTATTTGAAACTGTTTATAGAGACTTCTAGCCATAGATAACATTTTTTCTACTGGTTTTGCATTACTCTTGAGTAGTTCAATAGATTTAATATTGTGAAGATAAGAAATAAGGCAAATTCAAAATTATCATGTTCATGTTCACGAGTTCATGATTGCATACTCTCAAATCCATACTCGAATCACACGAAACAATGTCCTTACCTGAAAGAGAGAAATCCCCTTTCTGGCTTTCACTTTCTCTGATTAGAAAGGCACCCGTCTGATTTTCTGAATATGATAGTTGGTTTTCTGCATCTGCTCTTTTGATAGCTCCAAAGAACCACCTAAAAAGAGAGATATGTAAACTTTAATTAACCAATCAACATTCATTTTTTAGGAGCAAGAAGCTTAGCAAGATAGTATTATGACATCAGAAACGTTTGATATTCTTTAGTGAAACTATCACAAGTATAATGGTAGCTTCTGACATTTGAGATGACTTTTCAGGATGTCTGTAATCCACATCAGAATTCATAAAAGAAAATTACAAAGCAGGAATTTGACCAATGCCAACTGCTAAGTCCCTTCTCACACCTGCATTCCGTTTGAGAGGTCCTGTGCCTTCCCTCTATAAAGCCAAAGCACTAGTGTAGGCCTGCCACATAAGCCTGCTGCATCCCAGCTCAGTTTTAATATTTTCTTAGTACCACTTCTACCCCTCGTCTTTTCTCTCTTAACCTTGTCATTCCAGAAATCAGACACCAAATACACAAGTTCGTGAATGCAACCATAAAGATGATCATAATTATTTAGGTAAAACATTTATCTTTTCAGGTATCATCTTTGATAATGTTAAAGATGATATTGAGTCACTGTAGCAGTCATCAGTGTAGTCTACCCAATGTTTCCAGCCTTCTGGGAAATGGTGGAATTATGCTATCTAATCTGTGTGTTCAGGCATGACCATGCGCCTTATTTGCCGATGGGTTCATGCCTGAGTAGAAGCTTTAAATAGAAGCTCTAGGAATGAGCCTGTTTTTTACCATATTCTCTAATCATGGCACAGCAATCATGGAAACATGGAGATAGAAACTCCCTGAGTGAGACAAACAGCAAAGTCCTACGTGACCTTTAATAGACATGAGAGGAAAAGCAGGTTTGAGGGAAAAAATACAGGCTGGGAGATGAAATGCAGGCTATTAAAAGTTAACTCAAAATTGAATGACAAGTCATGAGTATTGGAAAATATGAGTGCACCAAGAATGATGCAATTAGAAGGAGGTCGAGGGGAAGGAATTAAAAAGAAAGAGAGACATTAACATATAAATATTATCTTCTAACAAATGCAGGATGTTTGGTTATCATTCTTCCAATTATCAAATTATAAATTATACCATATTATATCTATCAGGATATGACAAATCATCTTGGAGTAATGAACAATTCCAAATATCTTAGTGGTTTAAGACAAGAGAGAGTTATTATTTACTCAGCTTCATGTCTATGAAAGGTCATCTGGAACATGAAATAAAACTAAAATACAAGCCACAAACCTGGAGAAAATATTTGCAAGATATATAACCAAAAACAGAGTATTCACATTATATTAAGAAACATGATCAGTAAGAAAAAGACAACACAGTAGAAAAGTGGCATAGACTATAACCGGACAGTTCAGAGAAAAGGAAAACCCAAATAATAAAAATAAGAAAAGAAACACAGCCTCTCTGTGCGCTGGCAATTAGGAATATTAAGAATATTGCATATAAAAACTATAGTGAGGCCAGGTATGGTGGCTTATGCCTGTAATCCTAGCATTCTGGGAGGCCAAAGCGGGAGGATTGCTCACAGTCAGGAGTTCAAAACTAGTCTGAGCAAGCGCGAGACCCTGTCTCTACTAAAAATGGAAAGAAATTAATTGGCCAACTAAAAATATATAGAAAAAAATTAGCCAGGCATGGTGGCACATGCCTGTAGTCCCAGCTACTTGGGAGGCTGAGGCAGGATTGCTTGAGCCAAGGAGTTTGAGGTTGCTGTGAGCTAGGCTGACTCCACGGGCACTCTAGCCCAGGCACTCTAGCCCAGACAACAGAGTAAGACTCTGTCTCAAAAAAAAAAAAAAAAGTGCATTGATTATGCATCAACATTAAAATATTTAATAAAAATACAAATATGTAAACCTTTACAAGAATTGTAATTTATCTGAAAAATTCAGAATTATGATTATATCTCCAATATCTCATTGCATAATCAAGTCCTAAAGTGATGTGTTTCCTGTGCCCAACATATGTATAAATCAGTTTTTGTAAATCAAATGATTAAAGATAGAGTAATTTTCCTACATTTGGAGAGGAACCCTACAGTAAATTTTTTAAAAAATCCTTTTCTGTCTTAACAATTTTGGACTTTTATATAACAGATTGGTACAATCACTTTACAAAGCAAATCATACCAGTATCGAATCCATAGTAACAATGAAATGGATATAAATATTTGACTAGATGCATCAGCTCACTTAATACCTGGAATTTTATTGGCTGAGCTCTGATCAGGAAATGACGAATATAAGTAAAAAATTGTTCTCTGTATGCAGTGGCATTAGAATGCCATCCTTCATACTCAAAGACGACGCAATTGCGGTAGATTGCAATCTCTTGAGCATGTGCTGCTGCAGAGACTAATGGGCCAACAACAGCTTGTTCCACCCTTTGCACATGTGAAAAGTGGTCCTTAATGTGAGGTCTGAACCATTGGCAGGACTGTCGTTCTCATCAGCTCTGCCATTGGAGCCCCTGCGGCCCTGTGGCGTTCTGGAAAGACACGTGCACGCCACACCTGGTTGTCCTTCACAGCCAATTTCACCCTCTCTTTAAGCTACAGTTCTTGTGTGCAGTTCACAGTGAGTGCTGAGAAGGAAGCAAGATATCCAAGGAGGTATAAACCATCACAGGGGAGTCATTTAAATCAGTGACCCCCAAAGTGTGGTCCCTAGCTCAGAGCATCAGCATCACATGAAAACTTGTTAGACACAGAAATTCTCACATCTCACTCCATACCTACTGAATCAGAAACTGTGGGGGCAGGGCCCAGCAATCTGAAATTTAATAAATTCCCCAACAAATGCCTCAATGTAATAAATTCTCCTAAAGTTTGAGAACTACTGACATACAGAAATATTAAACAAATTAAAAATTCATACAAGGCAGTTACGAAACAGAGTTTGGCACTTACAGGTGGAAAATTATCTGATAAAATGATAGCACACACACACATTTTATTGATACTTAATGGAAATAATCTTTATTGCCATATCATACCATGTCATGAAAAAAATCTTGATTAATAATAATGAAGAAAGAGAGGAGACCCATGATAATCTATATCCTGGGAGAATGAAATGCTTCAATTAGATGAAAAAAGAACAAAAAATATAATGCCTGCTTTAGATAAAAAGAGTATGTGATTGAAATCTAAAATTTATTTTCAAATATTTATCAATTTTCTGCTATGAGTAAATTCTGTAGCACTGACATAAAGAGATTTTTAAGACATTACTGGATAAAAAATATAAATTGCAAAGTAATAGGAACTTTATAGGCCTATTTATACTTTAAAAACCACAAACCAAAAATTATATGTGCTTAATCTTCTCTATATATTAGTGAGAGGTGATGAAAGTGATGACAGAGGACTTTCACTTTTTATTCTGCATTCTTCTGTATAATTTGGATGTTTACAATAAGATATTGCAGATCACTTTAAAATTTATTGAAATATGAAAAGTTAAAAGAGGTCAATCAGAAATATGCTACAAAAATCTACATGTTGTAAAGTTCTGGACTAGAAACTTTGGCAGTATTAATAGATACAGGAAAAACCCCAAAGGAATATGAAACAAGTGGTTATAGATGAGCAGTGAAACAGATGGAAGATCCAGTGTGACACCAGGCTTTCAAATTTGAAAGACTAAAGGATGATGGATATGCCCTGCAACACTTCACAAGGCAGAGTATAACAATTAAGAGCTGCAGCATCTTATTGGGAAAGTTATTTAACTTTTCTGTGCCTTGATTTCCTCATTTGTAAGGGAAATAATAATAATTACTTTGTAGCCTTGTTTTGAGATTAGGAAAAATAATGCATGTAAAGTGATTGATATCTGGGTACATTCATGCTCAATAAATAGCACCTATTTTAAGAGAACTACTTGAAGTGAGAAAGTATAAATTTGTTTTTAGCCATGTTGGATTTGACATCATAATGAAACGTAAGTGAACGTGTGAACATGCCCTTACTTCTCTATTTGTAATGACAGTTTCATCCCAAGTGACTCTTCTGTCCTGCCTGCCATACTTGACTACAGCATGCTGCCACCAGGTGGTAGTAGACCATTCTACTAATTCAAAAAGGCTAAGGAAAGCTGTTGTATGATTAACTAGAGGTTCTTTATTTTACAAAAAAGACAAAATGAGGCTTTTGGAAAAAAACAGAATGTGTGCAATGTTACTAAATGTGAACATTTAAATAATATAGATATCAATCAAAGTTTAGGGAAATCAGCATGTAAATAGATGTGGTACCTCCATTAACATTTTGTCATTTCATCGAAGAGTCTTATTCTGCCTCAGTGACATGCACAAGTCATTAGGTCACTTGCACAGGTACCTAGGTCACTCATAATTCCAATCAGATGGAGATAATTTCCTCTTATGCTTTTTAAAGAGAAATCTCATGCCCAGCAACTGCTGGCTAAGGTTTACAAAAGTTAACATGTACTTTCTTTTTCTACTATCTCCCTAAAAACCAAGGCAACTGGCCTTCAAGTACTTTAGACAGAACCTGAAAAAACAGGCTCTTAAAACCAGTCCCAGAAAAAGACTGTATCCTTCTAGAAATATAGAAAGGAATGTAGGCAGATCAACTTGGCATAACCAGCCATGGGGAAAGTAACTTCAATGACCCCTGTGGAAGCTCAGGGTCAAGGATGTGTGTCTTTAATATTGACATCAAAGTTACACGTTATAACATCCATGTTATAATGGATCAAACCACCTATCGTCCTCACCAATGTGGCTTGGGAGGTACTCATCAATGGCACTAACATTTGCAAAACACCTACAGTTTGCAGGCACAGTCATAATCACATTTAGTCATTTATCTTATCTAAACAAAAGGCTTGGACTCATGCCCCCCTTGAGCTATTGTGGTTCTATATGACTCTCCTGCATCAATCTGTGTTTCAGCACCGTTGCCAGGAAGCCTCTATGAGAGTCCTTCCTGTCCAGCTGATCAGTTCCCTACCCTTCTACAAAATCTCTTAGGCTCAGCATCCCCTTTGGCTCCC